CTCTCTCTCTCTCTCTTTGCTCTCGCTCTCTTTGCTCTCTCTCTCTCTCTTTGCCCTCTCTCTCTCTCTCTCTTTCTCTCTCTCTCTCTCTTTCTCTCTTTGCCCTCTCTCTCTCTCTCTTCTTTCTCGTGTCTCTCTTCTCTCTTTTGTTTATTCGATCCACCTCTCTGAAAGTTGAACTTATTTACCTAATTACTTTCGTTTACCCCTCCCCTTGAAGTGCCATTGGTTTCCCACCCCTGGCATCCCGCTCTAGCGGTCAATTGCCGGTACTTTTCGGTGCCTGTTCGGAGGTCGACCCATGAGGTCATGACCGTCACATTTGGTTCCATCGTCGTGTCTACGGTGGATGAATCAACTGATGTGGACTAAAAAGGGGATCCAACGGGTGCGAAATCCACAAGTGGTGTATGGTAGTCGAACTATTGGAGACCTTGACCGGAAGGTGCTGGTAATAAAGCATCATCAAAACCCCCAGGCCTGGAGAGGTTTTACAATCCCATGTCTGGGGGGGTGAAATATTATCAGAAAATTACATTGTGCAACATCAGATCTTTGCAAAATGCTGAACTCTTGTACTTATTGCCGTTGGATGATGAACCTCATTGGCTCCTGCTACACGGATCTCACGTAATTACTGTTGATGGACAAATTCCGGTAACCTATGGCCTATGACTCAGCGATGTTCCAATCTAGGAAAATCACCCTTCATTCAAGTCAAGTCTGTTTTTGTTGATCCATTGCACCTATAGTTTGGCTTTCGTGCTGATTGATGAAGTCCCTGTCCAGGCGCACAGCCGACTTGCTGATGGGCGGAGCGCTTTGCGTCACGCGAAGCACCCAGGCGCACAGCCGGCGCTGGGAGAAATCGAGCCGGTCTACAGCTACGTCCTTGAGGATGAATATGAATGGGTGGCTGTGTAGCTCAAATAGGGAGACCTCCCTGTCAACGACCCCCGAGATCATGATCTGTCTATCCTTTGAACCAGCGGATCTCCCTCTTAATCACTGAGACTAAGTGGTGGATCAGATCTGCCCGGGTTAGGTTTCCTATGTTTTTTTCATGCAAACATCGAAAAAAACACAGTTTAAAAGAAAAACACATAAAAACACATAAACAAAAACTATAAACATGTTTTTTAATTTTAAGCTATGTTTTTCTATTTTCAGCAACCCATTGACACACTAGCCCACACACAATTGATCATGTGTGACAACAACAAAATCTTTCTATTTTGAACACAATTGCCACGCAATTGACAGCAACTGACAACAGCTGACCATTCCGCTCACCACGAGAGTGTTTTCACATGTTTTTGCATACAGTTCTATGTATTTTTATTTTGTTTTTTTCTTTTTTTAAAACTATTCAGATTTTTTAAGATTATGATCCTGGGAAACTATTTTGTAATTCCGAAACCCTTTCCCAACGAAACCCCGGCTTGTGAGATGATTTGAGATATTGTGATATTTTTTTTTATTTGTTTTAAATATTTTAAAGATTTATAAAACACATTGTAGATTTGTATTTATGTTCATTTCATTTTATAGTTATTTCATGTGTTCTATATTTAGTTCATTTTTTCATCCAAAAAAACGTAGCTGATCTAAACCACTTCCAATCTGATCCACCACTTAGCGTCGCTGACTTAATATACACACCCACATACAACCTTAAAACCGCTGGGTTTGTGGAGGAAGCCGGTCTTCTAAAGGTCCACTATCAACCTTTTTGGGGTCTTGGGGACACCCCAAGAAAATCGGACAGGTGGAACGTTTGGTTGTAACATGTTGTAACCTTTATTTTCCCGGGACACAGCTCAGGGGTCAGCTGCTGATCTTCATGGATGTTCAGGACACTTTGCCCCGTCACATTCTCACGCACCACATTGACCCAACACATGGAAAAGAAGATCCCCCAAGCCACCCAGACGTGTCCGTGGCACCGGTAATCACCGGTACGTCCGTGGTTTAAATCACGGTGGGGTCACCGTGTCACCAGAGGCGCGTACGGCGTGCGGTTCGCCTCTCAGGTGCTTTGGGTGCCTACAACTGCCAAGCTGATGGGTTGGCCGACGCCACGTTTCCACCCGTCACGAACCCCGAACGGACGACCACGTCGCCCTCGAACAGTGGGGTGGATTGGGTGCGCAGAGTTCATCATTGGAAGGAGAGCCCAAACAAGTTGGTGTTCGGATGTCTCCATGGTGAACTGTGATGGGACTGGAATTATATGCCTAGATTGACCCCTGCAGCGATCCCAATACATAGATTGTTTGAGTAGCATAGCAACTATACTGCGAAGATGACGTTCTCGAATGTTTTCTGCCAGGTCCACACTCCCGATGATCAAAACGCTCATTCATGCAGCCCAGAGGCTTTGGATGGTGGACGCATTTGTATGAGCACAAGTTCAATTGAGTGTTCATTGGTGTCAAACCTTGCAGAAGTTTTGCAGATTTTTTATGTGTCAACTTTGAATACATGTTTAGGCTTCTTCCTTGTTGCTGTGTTCCTTGATTCTAGGTATGAAATCTTGGTGATTGCAGTCATTCTTTCCTGGAGCTCCTCCTGATTTAGCTGAACTTTCATGATCTGGGTCACTGGTTTGTATTGATGTGGATTTCAGAGGTGATCTCCATGTGAGGAGTTGAATTGCCTTTCTAGTCCCAAAAAGGACCCCCAATCACCATTCGACGTCCGTCATTGCATGATCTTGGCGACCCATAGGATGCAGTTTCCCTTAATTCATGTGCAATGGTGTGGTTCAGTAGCTCACCGACGGCAGGTGCGAGCATGCTGACCAAGACGGAAACATTCTGATGAGCAACCTGAATTCCTGCCAGGAGAGAGTGGTTCAACATAGTGAGAGCTGTACCTGTACTTTCTTCAATTGTCCCTCTACTGATTTGATGACCTTGAAACTTGGCTTCGGCCGACGACAAACTACTCATCATGCAGGGTCACTTTGGTTGTGAAGTCTTTGCCTGGGGTACCCCGTTCTTGAAACGGATAGCCGGACATAAAAAGAACAGATCACTTTCATGATTCATAACCCAAATCTTGGTTTGGACGGTGACAAAATCTATGTTTCATTTCCATGCAGGTTTGGAGCTCATACTTGGGATCAGGTAACCCACATCTACACCGAGTGCTTGCAAAGACGTCAGTCTTCTTGGTGGTTGCATTTGGAGTACTTCACTTATTTGGCATGTTGCATCACCAGATTGTGCTGACAGGAGCTGCCACCAACTATTTTGGGTCGATTGGAGGATGGCGATCTGAATGGTGATGGGATGTGGGGTGCCCTAGGTCTTTGTCCAAATCGATGCCGGTTTCACCGGCAGGTTTCCGTGTGTTCCCTAAACCCCCCAAAGCCAAAACCATCCGGGTCACCCGATCATCCAACTCAAAGGACCTGGCAACAGCAATCATTGGAACATGGATACCGTTTGGATTGTCCCACGGCTTAAATCTTTGAGACGAGACCTTTATGGATCGCTGGAACGGTGACCGCATCCTTTAACGTCTTTTAACGGGGCAAACGAGTGCGGGGGGGGCACTCCACTCAAAACATCTCAAATCCAGGTGGCAATTTTGTAAGAAAGAACTCCGGCTCATGGGCATGGACGATCTCAGTTTGGGCACCATTTGACCCAGCTCACCAGCTCCACTTCTGAGTCCCAAAAAGCTCACACAAGAGTGTTGGTTTGGGTGTTTTAATACATTTGGGACTATAAAACTAGACGACAGGGTGGCCCGAAAGCAAGTAGGCGGAAGAGAACAAATAGAAGGGAAGAAAAGCGAAGTAACAGAAGATGAATGAGCACTAAAGAAATGAAGAGATGATATATGATGATTCAAAACATTAAGATGAAACAAAATGAGATGATGATGAGATGACACAATATATAATATATATATATATCTATATATATACATTATGATTATGATACTATTATCACGTTATTACCAAATCTATTAATGTATATTCTGTTGCACTGTACTTCGGAGCCCAAACGGTAGTCCCGGTCGATTCTTTTTTATCCAGCGCCGGTCGAGCTCAAACGCTAGTCCCGGTAGTAAGAGCCGCCGAAGTGTGCGAAATCGCACGTCCCAACCTGGCATCAGGACAACCAATGCTCATACAAATGCAACACTTGAAAAACAAAACAAATTACCCACAGTTCAACTCATGTTGTTTTGTCGGTTATCAGATATAGTTGCACACCCAGTCGGAACAGGATCGACTTCGAACAACTCTCGGTCGTGGATCTCGTGCCTTGTGGAGTCTCTGCACGTTCAGCTGGAACAAGGGTCGACTTCGGACAACTTCCGGTCGTGGACCCAGGTCCTTCTAATCAGTTTGGTCACGACACTTTGCAATAGCCAATTCACAGCTTTTCGCCGATACTTGTAACTTCGTGGCTGGTGACTATATGTGGCATCGACATGCCGGCCTCCTGGAATTCCATTGCGTGGTGTCCACTTTCATTTGGTGTGCCTCAAAGGTGCGCATTCTTTCGACCAACAAAGGATTGTGCTCATGCAAAAACTTTTCAAAGATGTGTCGCTCAGGCAAATCAACCAAATGCAAATCTTCCAATTTTCTGGCACGCGACAACATCACATACATAGCCAGCCCATAATCAGAATTGGACATCCACGCTGGCTTGCTCAAGAATGCAACAAGTCCTTGCCGCGCAGTGACACCTTGCAATCCGAAGTGCGTCAGAACGTTTCTGGGAGCCAGTGGAAACTGCTTGCGCACAATTTTGATGTACTGCTTGTGTCCAATCTGCAGCGACCAGGAACCTTCACAGGTGACAGCACGGAGATAAAAGTGACCCGCCGGTGCATCACAACCTGGCACTTTGTAGTTTCTGTATTCGGGTCATCAATTTCAACCAAAATAGCCAGCGGTTGATACTGCAAAACTTGGAATCCTTCGTCTCCAGCGATGCCTTGCTCACGAGGATGCAGTTGTACTTGTCGAACGATGACACAGGAACACCTTCGAGCCAGAACTATAAGGCGAATAGCAACCAAAGCGTGTAAAACACCATGTAACTACGCACCGAACGAT